TTTATTAAACTGTTCAAACAAGCATAATTATTAATACATTCGCATAAACCGAATTCAATAACCAGTTTTACATGTGTGGTTCGAAACAGTGTTCAAACGAGTTTTTGAGCACAAACCAACTGGTTGGAACAGGATAACATCACTATTTTTAATAAATATAATTATAAATTCTATGAATTATATTGTATAATAAAATACATAATTTTAATATATCAAACAATTTCTTTTTTTATTATTGAGTAATTGGATATTCCATGCTTAACAATAAAGAATTCAAAATTGTATTTTAGATTTGATATTGTAATTAAAGCTTGTACTAGTTTTTTGTTCAAAGCTTTAGAAAATTTTCTTCTATATTTGTTTGCTAATAGCTCTTTAAAATATAATAATTTAATTGACATAAATTATAATTACAGTAATTAGCAACTATGAATCTAATAATATTTTAATTAATATAGATTAATTAAAATGAGCCTAGTTACTTTTGTATTTAACTGAATAAATTTTATTATAAAAAAGTCTAACAAATCTATCAATTATTAAACTATTGGTTATATAAATCTCAGGATAATCCAGACCCTAGTAACAGGATTTCAAGCCAAAAAATAACTAGCCACAATAACAGTAATAATAATTATTAATAATATATATAGTAATAAAGAGCTAAAGTTAATAAAAAACAAGACTTCAGACTTTAAACTTTTTTAACCTAATTCCTAATAAATCTTATTGTCTAAATCCAGTAGGTTAAGTTTAAATTACAAAGTTTTGAACACTTAACTATAATAAATTAAATTAAACTAGAAAAAAAAATATATATACTTTTTGACTTATTTTCAGATAAAGTTTTTTACAATCAATTTAAAAAATTATATAAAAATTAAATTATTCTCCTGCTACTACAATTTTAATATACAACTTGCATTTTCTAAACTTTAATTTGTCTGGTTTTTTTAATTCTTTTTGAAATGATATTATTTATATCAGATGATGAAATAAGGTAGTCTAAATTTTTTTTATATTTTTAAACAATTAAATTATACAAATACTTGTTGTATATTATATAAAAATTCCTAGATTACAAAAATATAGACATTATCTTTATAGTATTTTTTAATTATAATTAAAATACTCATGAAGAATCTTCTTGTTCATAAATAAGAAATATAATTTTACAAGCAGTTTTCCTATTAAAAAATTTCATATTATCCTTTTATAATAATAATAATTGTTCAGAATGAAGTGGAGAACTTCTATAGTAAGATTATTAGCCAAATTTTGTCTATCTGTTTGCCTATATGATCATATATTTTGCAAAAATATTGCTATTAACATTGAAATATCTTGACTTAAAGGAATTTTATTTAAACCAAAATATAGATACTTTGTTTAGTCCATATATAGATACTTTGCTCAATTATTGCAATGCACCTTTAAAAAACTGAGATAGCTGTGCAACAATATCGCACAAAATCAGGAATAGAAGTAATTTTTTTTATATTGTAAACTTTTTTATTATAAATAAGCTTATAGTAATATATTATAAATTGTATTGTCTAGATGGTGAAAAAATTTAAACAATTATCTTTTATTTTCTAGGTTGTTTATATAATAATTAGTTCAAAGGTTTGAAATAAAAGAAATCACATTGTATAGAAAATATTAAAAAAACAATTTTTTTTAAAAAAATTGTATTAGATTTGACATTTGTTACATTTTAATCAGATAAACATTAAACTTACATATGAACATACATACATCAATTTTTAATCGATAGTATTTGAAAGCAACAATTAACATTACAATGAACATAATATATGACAATTAATATAATTTTATCATTATATAAAATTTAATTTAGGAGAATCATTTAATTCCCAATCAACAATTTCCTAGTTCAAGAAAATGTCAATCTAAGAGTTAAAAGATTCTTCAACTAATCAAATAAATGAAGTTCATAATTATAAAAAAATTAAATTTAATTTGATAATTAATTCCCAAATTGACCAGTTCTCATATAAGTGCTGCCAAGGGAAAAAGAAATTTTTATACAGTTAGCCATCTATGGAAAATCTAACATGATGATAAATTTTCCATAGACAATTAACTGTTTACAAAATATAATTGAAAGCTGAATGGCCTTTTTCCCTTGGCAGCACTCATATATTGTTGCAGCTGATGCTGAAATTTGGATCTATTTTTATATGAGGTTTAAAATTTTTAGGCATTTTTTTCCACTTTTTTTTTAGGGTTAAATAGATTTGATATTTAAAGAGTATAGATCGGTTTTGTATATTTTTAAACTGAGGTCCCAAATTTCAGTATTAGCTGTGACATATATTTTAGATTTGAACCATTTTAGGGTAAGGTAGAGTTGTTAACTTACATGTAAGTTACATGCATTTTACTGATATAAATTAGAAATTTTATTGTAACTTATGTAAATTACTTGTAAGTTATATAAGCTCAAAATAACTCCCAGAGATGAAATTATTAATTTAGGCTATAACTTAATAACACTCTTGAGCGCTATTTATTATATAATTTTTTTTTTAATTAAAGAAATTATGCAATACTTGTTTAATCATTGAGGCTGGGTTAAGTGATGTTAATGCTGGTGGAAATTGTCATATGATTTGCCTATATTATAGACATAAGGGCCATGTAAAGTAACCCTAGAGCAGGTCAACAAGGGTATTGACTAGTGCACGGCAAAATCAAACAAAAATTTGATTATCAAGTTTTTGAATTTAACAATTTACAGTATTGGGCATTAAATACAAATTTTCTTTTTAGTATATATATAAATCTAATAGGATCTGATCTTACTTTAGACTTCGTGGTAAATTATCATGAAGTTTAAAGTCAGATTAAAGTAAAAATTTCAGGTTAGAACCCGAACCTGAAATTTTAGGGCTAATATATTAATTTTTTTTTAAAAAATGAATTTAATCGCCTTTTTTCTCTTAAATGTTTAATAATGTAACGATGATCATCAAAGTTGGTTAATCAAAACTATGCTTATAAACTCAGCGGGCTACTAAAGTAACTTTACAGAAACCTTGATTTTTTAAAAATATAAACAGCATATATCTAACATATAATAAAAGTCTTAGTAAGCTCTGTTAACTCTCTTGTAAGAAACTTATTAATATTATAAACATATTATTAACATATTAGAAATAATTTATTCATCACCCGGGTGAATTATTGACTTACACAATCACGGAGGGGGTGAAAAATATATTTATTATAGGACTATTATATTATTAAAATATTGGAATTTTTTTGTTATTATTATTATTATTATTAGATTAATAACAGATAATTTTATACATAAAATTATATTGTATCTATATAACAAACATATTATTAGTAATTAAATTGCAAGGGAGTTAGCAGAAAGAACAAAAATATAATTATTATCATGATTAATATGTATTCAAAGTATATTTATTATGTACTATTTTAGATCATATAATATTAATATTGTTAATATATAATAAATATATTGTAAACATATTTAGCAAAAAACACAAGTTTCTGTAAAGGAGACTCATACTTAAAGCATAAAAACCATTACTTGTATTATTTAATTTGATTCCGGTACGGTACTGTATAGGATTAAATTTAAGCTATACTACTGCTAATTCGTTCGATATTGTTAAACCGAACTTTTTTATTTATTATATTGATAAAAATATCACTTTAAAAAAAAAAACTGAAAATCCAAATATATTATTTTATATAAAAAAAAATGTATTGTTTAAATGAAGCTAATTAAATTCAATATTTGCATCTGCTACAAATTCTCTAACTGTCATAAATTCTAAAAAGATCACCTTAAAAAAAAAAAAATAAAGAACAATCCAAATATATTTATTTGATATAAAAATGTGTTGCTTAAATGGAGTTAATTAATTTCAATATCTGCATCTGCTACAAATTTTCTAAGAAGTGTCATAAATTCTTGAGTTATTTGTATTTCTTCATTTGTTCTTGTGTCAATATCAAATTTCATCTTTTTTAATACAACTGACCATTCTTGAATATTTTGTTCATATTTTTCTTCATTCTCTTCATTTTCATTAGAATGAACATTTATCGGTGGTAAAGGTGGAAATACACAATTATGAACTTCAATGATTGGTAGAGGGAATTGGAAAGAAACGGGAATTTTGTATAATTTTGGTAAATAACCTTTGAATAATGGTCCAAGTATATCATCATCTGATACTAAAGAAATTGAACTCATGTAAATAGGTAAGAAAAAATTTCCTGCATTACAATAAGTATTATAAATGTTGCATGCTATTTCGATTTCTGTTTGAGTTCCATTCAAAATTTCATCTGAATTTTGTCGTTTAATATCAATACTAATTCTTTTTTCTAAAATATCTTTGAAACAAAGTGATGCTATTGACGAATCTGGTTTAAATTTAGAAAGTGCCCAATAATAGTAAATAGGTGATAAAGAAAGTGACTTTATGGATGTTGTATACGTTTGAAGTTTTTCATGATCAATTAAGTAACCATCTAATTCATGAAATCTCATTGCGTCTAAGAATAATTGTTCTTGATTTCGTTTCATACTGCGATATAAGAAATCTAATAGATTCAATTTTTTTGAAATTGCGCTCTGGCTTAATGGCTTCTATTTTACAATTTTTGAAAAAATCATCATCTTTTTTCAGTGATGAAAACGATTCAAGTAAAGTTTCTCCAATATCCTCCAATAGATACTCAAATAATTGTAAGATATCACAAATGAATGAATATGTCAGTTTAAAACCAAGTTCGAGAAACTCTGAAAGGCTTTCGTTGATTTTATTTACATCTGGACGGGTCCATTCTTTGTTGGGCATAGGTGGATAAAGTATTAAGATCGCTTCTTGCAAAACTAGATCATTCACAACTTTACATATATCAAAATAACCTATATTAATCCACATGTTTACCAACTCTTTATGAATCTAAATTGCTCGAGCAATCACATTTAGCTGCCTATTATTCTCGTAACCATCCTTTGGCGGGTATTCTTCTTGAAAGTTAGATAACCTAGCAACAGGTCTCGGAGGGAATGGTATAAATAGATAAGCGTTTTGATGGATTCTATGTTCTTTACTAATATATTCTGGGCATTAGTTATAACGTGTGGACCTGCTGTGTAAAAATGAAATAACTCCAAGTCAATGCAAGATCTTGTTCACCAAACCGTTTTGAAGCTTCGGTAACTATATATGCGAATACTGATATAGGTAAATCACTAGCCCAAGGTAAATTATGCTTTTGTTGAAGGCGTTGAATTCTTTCTGCATCAGCTTGACTAATGTGTCTTATCTTATGCTCTATAAGTTTATTACCATATCTTTTTAAGTGCATACACAATCTTTGCACAAAATAAACCACCCTTGACAAGTATAGATTGTACAACAGAAATATTTATAAAGCTTGGGCCAAGTCTAACAGTATGAAAGAGTGAATGTGCATTTCCATAATGATAAAGAATCCATTCAGCTCTTGCTTGTGCATCATTTACAATAATATTCCATCCTTTACATGTTAATGATAAATTTTTTGGATATAATATGAATTTAAAAATATTGATTTTTATTTTATCTACCAAAGTATTTAAAGTCGGGGCATTAATTGATAGCTTTAAAGCATATTCGTTTCTTGCCTTTATGTCTTTGGGGCGATCCCTGTTTGCTAGTGACTTATTCACAGTTATATCTATTTGTGTTACCATTCATTTCCTTTTGAGCATTCATTTCCTTTTGGGTTTTTATCTAATTATAAAAAATACCTAAATTAAATATTCTACTAAAGTTGGTATCTTGCCTGTGATGTTCATTTGTATCTGATAACCACAAATTATTTTGTTCATAATCTATTAAATCATCATATTCTTTTCTTGAATCATTATAAGAATAATCCCATCCTGATTTTTTAAATCCTTTCCATTTGTATCAATTACACACCAATTAAGAGTCATTGTTTCTTCAATAAATTCCCCTTTTTTATTATTCTGATTTGATTTTTGTTCTTTTGGAATTTTTAAACCAATTCGATATTTAGTCCAATATTTGAGTGCAATATTGTAATAACTAGTAGTATCACTTTGTGATTTATGCACAAATGAAGTTGCAAGTACATAATTTGCTTTAATATTATTAGTCTTGATGAATATTTCATTTTGTGATCCATCAATGTCAAGTCTTCCACAAGTAACTTTAGAATTTGTATAATTATCTTTGAATTCATCGGATTTATCAATTACAAACCATTTAATTTTAGTTGCATCTTGTTTGAACCTTTTTTTTCAAAATTAAATATTTGAATTAATAATTATTGATATATTTTGAAAAAATAATTACTGTATTTTTTTCAACACTTTTTTAAGCGAATCACAAATCTTTGGTGGATGCACATATCGGGTACATACCTACTTATTGAGTATCCTGATGCGCTATTTTTATAAAGATTAGCAACTCAATATCTTGCTTTTATTTGTATATTCTCCCAATATGTACCTCAGCATCAGCAAAAGTAAAAAGAACTTCTAATTATGTTATCACTTATATTTCAATATGTTGTACTTTAAATTAGAATTTACTCAGGATTGAATTTAAATTTAGATCTAAATTAAAAGTAGTTTGTAATAATAATATCTTGGGTCGTTGGGTATTTGTGGATTGATCCCAGGCAGTGATAACGGAAATACATGACTGA